CCTGTGCGTCCACATTAACTGGGAGTTGATGCCCTGCACAAGAGCATGGAGCACGTGTCAGTGAAGTTTGAGTACGAGTACACAGCGAAAGATGGTCGCCGAGTGTCCATAAAGCCAAATGAAAGTTACATCCTGGTCTCCAAGACTAATGATCACTGGTGGCACGTTCGCAAAGACCAGCGCACCAAGCCCTTTTATATTCCTGCACAGTATGTGGAGGAGCTCTCGGCCGCCGGTGGAAACCATCTTCGTCCTAATAAGCTGAATTCAGCTCAGGGTCTGACTGTTAGTAAGCCAGTGGATATGACCAACGTAAAGCCACGTAAAGGGACAACAAAGAGTCGTCCATCATCTCAGGATGTTCCAAAAGAGACCTACCGCTTCTCCACTTTTGGTTTCGGTGACGACTTACCAGAGGTGAAGACAGATGTACAGACTAACAGCACCTTTGCACATACTCTGAATAATGTCAAAACGCACAACTCAGCACCTCCAAAGGCTGAAAGCACCGAAGTGTATGCAAAACCTCATCTGGTGCCAAAGGTCATAAAAGAAAAAAAAGAGTCAAAAATCTCACTGCAGGATGATACTGCAGAGCAGACCTCTGCACACGATGAGGATATGGATTTCCCTTTGCCCCCACCACCCACATATGACACCATACCAGAGCTAATCGTCACAGAATTTGACACTTTTCCCGAGCCTCCGCCTCCTCTTGTTTCCCTCGACACGCATCCCCCAGAGAGGCAAAGTTTCAAACAAACTGCAGAAAAAACTTCCATACAAGTACCTCCTACGGAGCAGGTAAGACCCACATACATACTTTTTTTAATGCTTCATTCATTCTGTATCACCTCAATTGATGAACATGAGGGTTTTCTGCCACAAGAGGGCGCAATTTTGTCATGTAAGGTATGGCAGCTATGCTCACACATTACAGTGCTTTAAAAAGCTTTAACCCCCACTGGAGGTTTGACTGTGTTATTGTTTAGCACTGAATTAATGCACGTTTAAAGCCACAAAAAATGCGCCTTGAAAATGCTTGCATTCATGTTTTTATGCAACAAACACGACGAACTAGACTTAGTTTAGAAGTTTCACTTTATGCAGCATAAGAGGAGGTAATCACTTATGAAACATGTGCAATGAAGCGCTGCTTTATTTTCAGAGAGAACATAACAAAAACACTGGGAACTGCTGCTGCATGTTGGGGATCCCAGGTGAAGCCTTGGCCCATCTGTGGCTCTAACTATTTCACTTCCTGCTCTTAGGAGAACTGAGAAGAGAACTGACTAGCATTTAAACATCAGTTTCAACATCTCAAACTCTCAGACTAGTAAACTTGAATTCCCATAGAAAGATTTATCCGGTTATCTCTTCTTTGTCCACTATAAACAGTAGAAAAGTAAGTGTGCTGAGAAACACACTGTGTGACATTACGTATTATTCAGATATTTTAAGTAAAAGACCCAAAACAAAAATAAAGAAGCACGGTTCTGCTGATGTTATTGATCATACAGTATTTGCAGACTGTTATTAAACCTGCAAACATGTACATATCTCAGTATTTATTATCCTTAACATATTGTCTTGTCTTTTTATTCTAAAGCATCTAAAAACTGTAATCTTAATTGCTTTTTATAAAATACATGGCAAAATCCAGATTTAAATGGCCTGCTCCTTAAATAGAAAACCTATGAGCCGAGCAGACTCATTGTCTGGGAAAGCCCATGGGACACAGGCAGAAATAGGATCGTGTGGAGGCTTGAATTGAGTTAAGAAAGGTGAGGCTTACATGCTGCACCCCAAAAAAGCCTACAGGCAACGACAGGCAACATGACTTAACATATTATTATATTACTGTTATTATATCTTTCAAAAGCTGTGAAAATACCTGAACTGGAGCTAGTAACTGTAAAACCACTGAACTGACTAGCGTTAAGGATTAAACTAAAAACAGTGAAGATACTAAGTACTATTGGGAACACAAAAAAAGTCAAAGAGAAGAATGTGTTGTACAAAAAAGGGCCCCATTATACTAGTAATACCTTAGTAGTACTATTAATGCATATGTATCCATTCTAACCAGAAACGGGAGAACTTATTTTTAGGAGCCAACCTTCATTAAAGCATAAACTGTATTTAAAAGATGGACATGGACTCCTGTCACCACTGCTTTTTACATCTCCATATTCATATGGTGGTGAAATGTCAGTCACAGGGTAACCATGATCTTTTAGCTAACAGGTTTCACAATGCACAAAACGATCATCATGTTGTATTTAGTAAAACTTTAAACTAGCAAGTGACATCATAAACTGATCAGAACGTTTTTGAGGCCATAGATCACGAGAGCTGAGGGCTATTTGAGAAATAAAAAACATCTGTTGTACGAAGTACTAAAGGGTTAGCTCTCTTTTTTAATCTAGCTAAATCACCATGGTAACCTACCTGTAACAGGTAAGGCTCAGAGCATGTTTTAAGTGCTATAGAGATTTTGTGCCAAAGGAGTACAATTATTTTACATATGTAACCTGTTACTAACAACAGAGGATTGTTTTGTTTTTAGGTTTTGTCGAGCCAGCTAATGCAGAGAAAGCTAAGCTATGCTGAACTTGTTTCGTAGTACAGCTCCCTAATGGTCATCAAAAAGAATGGGGCTTCAAAGTGCTTCAACATGGGCTGTATCCTA